AGATCTTCAAAGACAATGAAACTGAGAGTCAGATTAAAAAGGGGCCTGGTAAAACCACTGTGGTCTCCAAGTTCAAGGTAGGATCCAGCTCTAGCCTTCATAATCAGGGCAATATAAGCTAGTCACAACCTCTTTTATAGTTTGGAGGCTTTAGTGCTGGCACTGGTAATTGCTAATATCTCATTGTAGAACTCACTGGAGACCCTGATGAAAATCCTCCACTTCACAACTCCTCACTACACTCGCTGCATCAAGCCAAACCCTGAGTGCAAGCCACTGACTTTCAAAAAGGAGGAGGTAGACAGTCTACTCCCATGTTTAATAATCTGTGTTTTAACACCACAAAGACAACACTGACATGTTTGAACAAAAGGCAAAGGTTTCACTTGATCCTTGCTGTTTGTTTTCAGGTTATCATTCAGCTAGAGGCCTGCGGGATTGTGGAGACCATCCATATTAGTGCTGCTGGATTTCCAATAAGGTGAAACTTTATTGGAATATCAGCCTAATGTACCATTTAATTTCTGCTGGATTTTGGTTGACGTCTTGTCTTTTGGTGCACAGGATTCCTTTCCAAAGCTTCCTGCAACGTTACGCACTGATCGCTAAACACATAAAGTTGGGGGGTCACAGTGTTGGTGAGTACAGCTTGTGGTTGAATCCATTTCTGGTCAGTTTCGCATGTTTCGTGTTTGGGGAAAATAGTGATTTTATCTCCTCTCTTTAGGTCTGCTGGTTTATTCTGCTTTTCCTTCAGTAGCCCTCTTAGTAAACATGATCCTCAGTACTCTACTCTCCTTGGGAACTTTTTTAACTTGGTGCATTAAAAACAAAATAACAAACAAAATTTGCAACCTTTCCAGGTAAATGCATGCATGACTGTTGGAGCTTGCCTTGCATGTTCCTGCATTTTTTTTCTCAGTTATAATGTATCAACTGACACTTAGCTTCACTGCTGTGTTCAGCTGTCTTTTTTTTTTGTTTTTTTTTTGTAGTTAGTAAAGTATAAGGATGATGGTCAAAAATGGTTTGGGAAATCTCCCAACTTTTTGTCCAGTGTGAACATGGAGTTGACGTTGGATGGATTTTAGTGATCTTGAATATTAATTGTACTTGTTTTAGTGACATTCTTTTACAGCCCACATCATAAATATTGTGATAAAATGTAAAGTGTGTAATTATGTAAATGTGCACAGTGCTTTCTTTTTATTTCTGCATGCTGTGTGAGACTGCAAGGATTTATTAAGGTCAAAAGAACCACCTGTGGATGACATAACACCTGATCTAGACATTAATGTTCCTTAGATCTTACTGGGTCGCGTTAATAGCTGGATTTTGACAGACTGATCCGAAGGTGGATCAGAGTGTTTAAAGAAATGCTTTCGAACCCAGGAGCCTCCTGCTGTGAGGCAGCAGTACTAACCGCTGAGCAATGTGCTTCCAGTAAGCAAGCAGGCTCGCCTTAGTGATTCATCAGTTGGACAAATGCCTAAACAGACTTACAGAGCTGCTGTCAAGTCTGTAACTTCTTAGCACGTGCATGCACAACCTGAATGCTGCAACATGCTGTGTATTATTATAAAAGTTCATATCTCCTCTGTGTTCCTCTCCGTGTGCATGTTAAAAGATTAAAAAATTGGTGTTGAATTCACAGCACAGCGGCTATGGAAGCTGTGCTGTTGATTCAGATGTGTTTGCTCCCTTGCTGTTCTTCACCCGTTACACTTTTTAACCTCACACGCTGTTACTGTGTGATAAACCTCAGTCTCACAGTCTGAGTGCTGCACAACTGTGAACATTACTATATCTTTAGTGGATCACTTAATCTAACTTGTGCTTGCCTTCAGTGTTAGATTTGGAAGCTGACACTTGTCCTCAGCGACATGTGGAGAAGATCCTCAGTGTGGCGTTGAAACACCGCTGTCTGAGTGAAGAGCACAGTACATTGGTGCATTGTGGGAGGACTAAAGTTTTTCTCACACAAGTGATGGTCAGTCATTTAAAATCTGTGTTTCATTACAAACAAACAAGCTTATTTATTTTTAGAATTCCTTCAGCTTCTTCTTTTTTTTTTTTTTTTGTTGCATTTTGTTTGTTTGCTATGCAGTCTAGTTAGTGGTATAAATGTTCCAGTTTTCTTTTTCTTTTTGAGCACACTGACCTGTCTGACTCGTCTCACAGTTAGATTTACTGGAAGATCAGAGGAAGAAGATCCTGTCTCACTGCGCCTTTACCATTCAGTGCTGTTGGCTACGGTACCAGCGGGGCAGACGACACACCCACCGCCAGTCTGCTACTTTGATCCAAGCAGGTGAACTCATAATGCGCCTGTGAAGTAATGCAAAGTGTGGCCCTGTTCCCGCAGGTTCTCTGCAGGCTTTGACCTGACGGCCGGGCCCACGGTGACCAGCTGCCGGTGTCTGCACACTCTGTATTCAGGCTGTTTATCCCTTTAACGACAGAGCCTATCACAAATAACTACTTCAGCTGTTCAATACACATGTTCTATTATTACTGGTGCTTTATTTATTTATTTATGGTTCTTGTTCTGCAAGAGAAACAAACCTTTAGAATAAGTAACTTGTTTTAAACTGCCTGCAGCGGTGCGGTCTTGGCTAGTCAGGAATCGTGTCCGGAGATGGAACAGAGCAGCTGGAGTCATCCAGAGCACCTGGAGGAAGTGGAGGGTGAGATTATATTTGAACGCTTATCCTCATGTGTTAAGTTTTACTGCTTTTTTTCATTGTGTTAATCTGTAAATAACTTTGCTTTTATTATTATTTTTTACATCTTCTTGCAGTTACTCTTGAAATCCTTGGCTGAAGCAGAACTTGATGACGCAAAGGACCTGGTGGAGGAGGATACACCCGCACTGACTCCTGTCATCAGGGAACGGGGCTCAGTACAGCTCTCCACCATCCCGGAGCCCGTCACGGTGCAAGGGTGGCCCATGGGCCTGGCTCTAACCTCTGCACCGTCCATGACTGTGTCTTTGACAGCCACAGGCTTCCAGAAGATGATGTCTGTCATCGCCTCCCTCAACTTGCCATCCAGGAGGGGAGAGTACCAGGTGAAGACCAACCAGTACACGGAGGAACTCGCCTCCATAAGGGCTCAGCCCAAGGTGAGGACACAAACACCTTCCAGAAACGTTTTCATTTTGTTCATCTGATGGTCTTCTCTTTCTCGTTTCCTGCACAGGGATCCGTAAAGCTGCACTGTCAGCGATCTCCGCTTCTCTACGCTGACAGGCAGCCGGACCTGAAGAGCGACGTGACGGGGTTCAATGAGATCCTGCTAGAGAAAACTCTGTAACCCCTGCCTCAGTGCAAAACGCTTCTTGCAGTGAAGCAGCTGCTTCTCCATAATCTGACATGAAACATGGTATTATTTCATGCTGCCACTGTATATGTAGGTTAAAACACTAATTGCCACGTTTGTTTGTTTTTTGTTTTCTTTTTTTAAACGAAGGTCGAAACTGATCTTACCCTGTCTTACAGGGATGAAGGGAATTATAAAACCTGCATCCTTGCATAATTATTATTTATCAGAAGCGTTTATGTAAGCTGGTGCAGTGCTAAAAATCACCTCCAGTTGCCTTACGGCCCCAGAGATGACAAAATATATATAAATATATCACCTAAAATTCCAAATCTGAGTGAGGAGAGTGGATACAATCCTCAGCTGCATTTAAGATAACGTAACCCCTTCTTTTCATTTCTTTTACAGAAAGAAATGAAGTACCATTCACATTTCTCTGTGAATGGTACTCATGGCCATTGATCAGTGGGCTTTGATCAGTGGTTGTTGATCAATGGTCATGAAAATGTGCATAATTATGATGAAGGAACTGACCTCCCAACCCCATTGTTCCTTCAGTGGGCTGGTTTCAGTCATTATGCAAATGTACTGTTTATAAGATTGGGGAAACCTGCAGTCAGCTGAGACTGAAGAAGTCACTTGGATGAGTGATGAAATGTTTCTCCCACTGAAAACGCTACGTCCAGATGAACAGAATCAACTTTAGAGGATTCTTTTACAGAACTTGCCATGTTTGTCACATGTAGAAAACAGCACATGGTGTAGATGGGATTATGGTGATGCAGGATAAACACTAACTCTTTTTAAAAGAAATCTTTGTAAAGCTCAAAATTTAAGGCATAATCTTGGCACTTTTTTAAAAGAAAAAAAAATACCAGGGCTGCAGGCTTTTGTCTCCTGATAGATGATCAGAGTATTAGGCCTCGAGACAAGTGCCTTTCTTAGAATCCACGATCAAACCACATATGAGCTGTACATGTATTTATTGGGCTGATTATTTATCTGTGACTTAATTTTTCCAGTCTTCTGTTTCTGATTCTTGTGTAGTTTTGTGGTTGCTGCTAGGAGGAAAATGGTAATCGAGCAAATATTGCACGTTAAGCGAATATTGCACTTCAAAAGCATGCACATTCTTATGTAATCAACAAGATTACACGACAGGGTGTCTACAGGCATGAGCAGGTAAAATGTATTTTATTAATTTTCATTCTTACACCATTTTAATAGCCCAGAATCTTTATCTTGACTGATGAGCAGGCTCTGATATTTTCAGGGTGTCCACCAGTGTAATCGACAGCTTGGTCGTGCATATTTACACTTTGCTGGCCTGAGGCTTCGGGGATTTTTATATTTTTGAGGCAGTTGTTTTTAAGCACCATTAAAATTAGTTAATCATTAGCCTTTTTCTTATTACCCCTGAGCAGCAAAAGGCTGATTGTGTACTGTCATCACCCCACCAGGCAGGCAGCGCGGACATTTAAGTTTGTGAATGCAATAACTGGAGAACAAGGTGATACCATAGGTGTGTTTACTAAAAATGTTGGACAAGTTTGTATGTCAGTGACCTCGACCTCAAGGTCGGAGCAAGTTGTCTGAAAACCTCGTCAACGCGACAAACATGACACAGGATTTTGAAATCGACACTGTAGGTGTGTCTACCATAGAACTGAGAGGAACCATTGGTGGTCGACAGTATTTTAATGAAAACAGGCAAACAAGGGTATTATTGTACAAATACTAAAGTCATATGATCTAAATGTGTTGAGGAAGCAAAAACAGTGGAATAGTGTGCCAGAAATTCTCAATAACTTGAGTAAAAGCACATCAGACACATCCACACTAATACGTTAAGGGTTTATATTGATGAGTATTGAAGAACTTTCAAGGAGCCGTAGACACCCTGCATAACAGAAACTTCACTGATGTGAAAAAGGATGAACCCAGGTTTATTTACATCGCTGCTCTTTGTCTTATGCACGTCAACAAAATATGTCTGAACCACTGTGTGAATTTCATCCAAAGCAATGCAGTACTGTAACATATACCAAAGTCTTTTTACACTACAGTATTTGTGTATGATAAACTTGATTTTTCTTATCACGATCAGCTTTGATATTTAAACTTTGAACAAACACATTAGCAACAATCATAGAAATCATTGGAGCCTCTCACTCCACACTTTTAATTTCAAGAGATTTCCTTTTTTCATTTTATCCACACAAATTTAATGACTTAGATATGCAAACGTGTCCAGGTTATTATCAGAAGTTATAATATGGAATTTGTGTATTTTAACTGTTTTGTTCTTATTTTCTTCCGTTTCTGTCAGTAGTACCACGGTATCCATTGACTTGTATGTTTAAATGTTTTTGTTGAAATGTCAGTTTTAAAATGTTTGGATTTCCAATCATCACTTTCCCCTTGAAGTCTTTACATGTGAAGTCTTGTTAATGGTAACTCTGGGAATTTTTACAGTTTGAAAAAGTTGGGGCTTTTATTTGAACATTATATACATAATGTAGTTTGAAGTCCCAACACAAACTGCAGCAACAACACTACAAAAATATATTTAAAAAAATGAAAGCTGGATTTTACAAGTTGGCATCTTCACTTGATTTTGCATCATTTTCTACAATTTTCAAGCACTGATCAGAAAATTCCATAAACAGCGGCTCCTGCATGGCGGATTTCATTGCATCCTCTTTATGCTCTGCACCATCTATAGAGCACAATAACTGCCTCAGATGAGGATTACAGAGCAGGTCCTTTAGCTCTTTTGACTGGCCTGGAGATAAAGAAAACAGCAGTTACTCTCACACTACTTTGTGTTAACGTGCCATTGCTGTTGCACGAAGCTTTTAATTTCAAGTGCAAAAAATGAAGAAGGGGTGCTGGAGAAATACCTAACATCTGGAGCCTCTGCAGAGGAACTTTGTCAGTGATGTCATCTTCATGCAGAAGATCATCAACACTCCAAGACTCTGCAAAGACATCAAAGAAGGGAAATTCTTTTTAGGTGTTAGGTTTACTCGTAATGCCAGACAGGAGTACTGTCACAGACCGTAGCATGATTTCATTTACTGAAGCTATGCTTAAACGAAACTATTTGGAAACTTTAGGCCAAATATTTATGACAAATGTATAAAATTACTCTTCCCCAAATGATTATATACCTGTGTCTGTGCTGTGGTCACTGTAATGTAAATATTTTTAAAATTCAGATCATCACCTCTAAATACAGTATTAGTTCACAACTCTGACTAAATGAACAAGACTGAAATCTAAAACGGTGCTCAAGAAAAAGCATATCACCCTTTAGATGAGGGCATAATCATGTAATATTCTAAATATGTTTCTTTTAAATGCAGCTGTAATATTACTTATTTAGTAAATAGACCATATAATCCCAGTGCTGATGAGAGGAATGTAACTGTACCTGTGCTCACAGCAGTCTTTGTTTCAGGATTTGAAGGGGCAGGCTTGTCAACAGGAAGGCAGGTATCTGCGAACAGGAAAAAAAACAAAACCACTTATTGATATGATAAGAAACATCTCTTTGGAGTAAAGCCACAGCTCATGTAAAAATGTGAATGAAAATTTTAGAACAAGCTAATTTACCTTTATGCTTTTTGTAACAGCCAAGTGAACAACTGTAAGAGCCAAAACACTCATAAGGATCAAGCACATCAAAGTATTCAACAGTGTTTAACACATTTCACATGTGATTATTCTAAACAGGCATCTTCATTTATTACAAACTTAAAACACACTCTAGAGTCCATCAACGGGAACATGACAACTCTGAGCGGGTAATGTCGATGCCAATCACAGATTGTGACAAACATCATGCCAGCAGGTGGCAGCACTGTCGTCAGCTTGTCTACTGGCGGTACAGCACAAAGAAGAAAAACTGCACTAGCACGATTTGACCTATGTGGGCTACCGTCCCATGTGGTGTACACAGTAATAAAAACAATGTTTTTCTTACTGCTAAGCTAACTGCACACACATTTTGTTAAATGACAATCTGTGAATACAAAATCTTTGATTTTTATTAAGCGGAGTAACAAGTATCGAGTATATTCAGTGAAGTCCAACGTCACAAAAGTAATGTACCTCTTCATTCTCTCGGTAGACAAGCTGCTTATATTAGCTTTTTTTTCTTTCTAATTTACAAAAAATCAGATTAAAGAACTGACTACTGTAGTATTTGTTCCCAAAGGTTTATCTGTGGTATTCGTAGCTAAGCAAAACAAATGCTAACTATAGGTTAGCCCGCAAACAAACATTCAGTTAAAGTTTACTTACTATCTTATTTTGCAGGCTGGACATCGGTATTTTGGAGTCCGTTCGCTGCACACACTGCATAACTGCATTTTCTTTTGAGGGAGAGGAATTACTTATGAGGGAAAACAGTCTGTTAGCGTGCGGTATATGAGTCGTAGGCACCAAAAAATGACGCTTTCCGGTTGTTTAGCTGTTCCTTCAAAATAAAGGCATCACAGATTAATTTGACTTTCCGGTAGAAACAAAGTACAAAATAAAATCCAAACACCGGGAAATATCGGGCGTCTTCATGTCCATTTTAAATCTGTCTTCGTTTCATATTTAGACCCAACTCAAACAAAATTCCGCTGCGGATACACATCCTGATTTGATTGCGCGCGCACACACGCACGCAAATACTATTGGATCATTATACTAAAATGTTTATCCGCAATCCGAACAGCAATTGGTGTCTACGAACTGAATTACAGTAATGGCTATTGATGGGCCCAGGTAGATAGTGCTTTATAAGCCAGGCAAAGATGGGGCCAGATGTGTGTCTGCTGAGTAAAATCCCCAAATCATAAAAATGCATTAAAAACATTAATGATATACATGTAATATACACTCTGGGCTACACACAGTTGCGATATAAAAGGATGACATGCCGCCACAGGAAACCAACGTATGTAAACTAATTTTGGGTATATTTTGGGGTAAGATGTCTCCATAGTAACCAACCACCTGTTTCAACATCCTTATTTGAGAAAGAACTTCGAATGTGGCATGTGAATTGTATACAGATATTTTTATTTATTTATATTGATACATTTATTTAGATTAAAAGTTTTACTTCTATTAATAAGAGATTTTATCCGAAAAACAGCAGAGTGTTGTGTATTTTCCTTAATCCCTAATCTGTTAAATTATTATTTGCTTTTATGGATCCATTGTTATTATGTTATAAAGCAAAAAAACATTTAAGAAAAACCATAAATAGAGAAGCACCAGCCAAATGTCTTTGCTCTGCAAATTATACTCCCCCCTCTATGATATGATATGCCCATATACCATGTCCTTTAGGGGTTCTGAGATACAAATAAGCACTGCCGCATGGAATCGAACCCCATTTCAAATGAAAACATGACACTGGTTCAATTACCATCAACTTTTTATTTGATTTAAAATCAGCATATCTCCTGCACCCACAGTGGATGTATATATCTATACATTTAGCTTTCAAGCACACAATCCACTGACTTACATAGCTTAACACTAACTATTCTTGCACAGCTGTAACTTGAAGGAAGGGGGGGGGGGGGGTGTCTTGTTACAGGGAAACCTATGGAATGGAGGGCTGCCTTATGACTAATGGGCACGTTCCTGGTGTCACAGCACTCCACTCACTGGGTCAAGAAGGCAGAGACACTTGGCCATGGTCAACATCAGAAATCCGAAATCTGTGTGGAGAATCATATAAAAAAAAAGAAACATAAATACATTGTTTAGTAAAACAAACTCAATGTTTCCCTTTTAAATTTAGGTTTGCTGACATATACGTTTTTTTTGTTTTTTTTTAAAGAAGGCAGGCTGGCGCTACAGGTATTTTTTATTTATACATGAGCAGTTTGTTCTTTGACATATCAAAAAGCCCCGCATATTTTAATTTTTGTTTTGACAAGACAAACAGCCCGAAAGCTCAAAGCAGCCAAAAATAACGCTAAAGAGAAATTAACTGATCCAGTTACTGACAAATGATAACCTGTTTATTTTCCTCCAATGCTAGCCTGAGCTGTGGGGACGCTCGGTCCATTCTGAAGGCCACAATGCACAATATCACTTACTCCGTCAAGGACGGATCGCGATCTCCTGACTGCTGTTACAAAGGCAGGTGTTGTTGCTCCTCTATGGGTGTGAACTGTTTTGGCATGGCGTCGTTGGCTGGGCTGTACAAATTCCAGGCAGGATTGTTTTTCTATCACAACCGTTCAACATAAACACAACGTTCAGACGACACCAATCCATAGCTACCTGTAAACATCGCAGAAAAAAAGCCATCAGGATGACGAGCTCTTGGTTCTCCTGCGTTTCATTTGGCTATTGTGATATTTTTCTGCAATCTTCCTCTCGTGCCCTGCAGGGCAATGGCGGTTTGTGTTCAGCTCGATTTCCCTCTTGGATCTTCCTTTACCGCCAGCGTGGCCCGAGTACTCTAGCAGATTGTAGTAGTCGTACTGATCGTAGTAGGCCTCCTCGAAAGAGACCAGTCTTTCAATATCTGTCGCCATTTGGACACGGAGAGCAGCACTTGTTCGCAGACAGTTTCTTGCAGCGAGTAAACATATGATGTCACGCCGTGTTTTAATACATGCAGTCATGTGATCACGGCTGTTCCACTTCCTTTTGTTTTTGAGGCGAGCACACGGACATACCAGAGAGTTTGTAAATTTAGAGTAAACACCCCCTTTCTGGACTTTTGTTTTCAAAGGGGGCGCTCGCGAGCTAGTTCAGGATGATCAACGTTTAGCCCGCGACATTTACATTCCGCAAACATTTTTGCTAGACACCTTTGCGATAATTTAAATACGCTTTATATAGATATTTCCGGAATTCAATTTTATTAAACACATTTCTGTGAAATTTAGCGACATCGCAGCACCATGAGCCATTTTACGGCACATGCCATTTTGATTTCAGGCATGAAGCCAGCAGCAACAGAGAGCATTGTAGCACCAGTCTCCTGATGGCATCATCTTCAACCACCATAACCAGCTGCTTCTTATACGCGGATAAAGTTTCTGTTAACCACGCTTCAAACATCTAGTTATCGTTTGTACACAGATGCCTCAAAAGGAGTATGCGCTGTCGTAACTCCTCGACGGACCAGTCAACAGGCGCTAGCAAAACTGTTTCTCTGTGGGAAAACTATAAGTACATAAATGTCGTTTTATGGTTAAAACTACCTTCGCTAAAATAAAGAGGAACGCTGTATCTTTTGGCTAAAAGCATGTGTAAACAATTATTTTATCAGTTTAGCTCACCTGACCTGACAATTTCACCAAATACTCTCTCGCTAGCGCCCTCTGCTGCGCTCCTGGGTTCAAGAAACAAGTGGACAATTTCATTGATAGGAAGTGGAATGGCTCTGTCTAAAGATGAGCTCTGCGTACGAACGACTCGTGTCTGCCTTGTATTATGATTTTTTGTTTCTGTTTCAATTTGTATGTTCCGCTCTCACGTGACTGTCCGAGGACTATATATGAAAACTTTCAAATCAACTTGATTTTACGATAAAAAGAAAAGTATGTATTTTTATTAACGCGCCGACATTAAAAGGCAGCTTAAGCGGGACATTCTTATACAATAAGGTACCCTAAATAGGGCACCATTTTGAAATAAGGGAGCCTAAGTAGAGCATGTGGATTCCTGTTTTACGGGCAATGCGCTGTATGTATTTCTAAAACAAATCTGCACAAAATACAACAAATACCGGTCTCCCCAGTACTCTTACATGCATTCATGTTAAAATAAAACGCGGCACGTGGCCTGAATATCGTTTATTTGCCTGCTTCTTCTCTCCCAGAAATCTGCGCTCAGCATTTTCTGGGATGTTTTCCTCCTCGGCCCAGCGTCCCGCCCTGACGGTGTGGCACACGTAGTGACGCTTTTCCACGTCGCAGTAGAGTCTCACAGGCGAGCTGGCTGCGTGTGTATGCGTGTCTCCAGCTAGGCCAGAGAGTGATGGCGGCGCCCGTCCTGAGAGTGTCCACCCCTCGGTGGGAAAGAATAGCCAGGCTTCTTGTTTGCCTGCTAGGCATACTGTTGTCTTTATATGCTTTTCACGTCGAGAGGGAAAAGGCGCGGGATGCGAGTTATAAAGCTCTGTGCGACGTCAGCAGCTCCATCAGCTGTTCAAAAGTGTTCAGCTCAAGGTAATTTGAATTCAGCAAAGAGCGCCGACAGTGGCGCTCAATGAAGCTGCCTGCTATTGTGACAATCTGGGAAGGGCTGCGCGGTTTAAACTGTCAAATGCACTCTGCTAACATTTGACTGCTAACCCCAACCGTAAAAGCTAATCACAAGCCATGGCTGGTAGCTCTCTGTTATGCATGCATTAGTTAGAAAAAGTAACTTTACCATTGTAGGTGTTGGTTCTAAAGCGCCACATTAGCTTTGTAGCACCAAGAAGCTAATTTTGCTAACCATTAGCTAACGAAACCCGTTGGTTAACATTTAAGCCAGTTTCACTTCTGAACCAACTGACAGCAGAGTCATAAACGCTGTCAGTTTTAATGGGATCCTGTTCAGACCGACTGTCCTTTGCACGTCTTAAAGCTAAAACATATGTTAAAACCAACTATATAGCATTAAAGTTCCCGATAGCTTGTGCGCAGCGAGGCTATTGTGAATGTATGAGTGATGCTGCTACGTGAAGTCAGTTACTCCGATGACCAGAACTGGGACATTTGTTTGCTGGGTTGATGTTGGTGAATTTAGTCAAATAACTTAAATGACTAACCTCCTACTTTGGCTGTCACACAGCTGTCGTTAGCTCTTGTGCTAACGTCACCAATTATAAGTCCAAAGAGCTAAAACCCTACAGCCTGGTTACCTAAAGGAACACAGAGCTAGTCCAGAGGTCAGTGGAGGGGACTGTAGCATCACGCATCCTTGCCAGACAGGTGCATCTCCAGAGATTATTACTTAGATTTTTTTTCTCATGATTATTATACACTTTTTGTATGCATACTGTTAAGGTGCTTAACAGCTTTTGGTGGCCATTCAGTTCTAATAAAGTACAATAACACCATCTACTGGGCCTGTTTGAATGAGAGGCACTGCTGGCCCTGATTACACCTGGAATGCAACCTGTCTAGGACTTACTGCATATTTGTTGAATGAGTCGGTGACTTTTCCGTTTGAGAGTCTGTCTCAACTGATGTAAGCCTGCCCAAGTGTAACATTTCTTTTAAAGAAGAAATCGAGCTGCTTACATTGGTCTGATCAGTTATGGTTTCCAGCAGTGTAATCTTTATGTCATCCTGTATTTTTGTGAGCTGAAGGGTCTGTTTTTCTCAGCTTATCAGTTAAAGAACTAGGCACAATGGTGCTCTAGTGAAATGAATGGAAAGAAGGACATGTAATGTGGAAAATACAATTTATTATATACAGGGTGCACACACAATATACATTATACAAAAGGAGAATAAACTTTCACAAAGTGAAATGCGATTGCAAAAAGCAAGTCCACACTAGGACATAACCTTTGTGTGTTCCTAGTACTCTTACTGTGAGACATGGTGGATTGCGTTGTTACGTCGGACAATGTCAAACATGGATCAGAGTTATTGAAATGACATTTACACATGCTTCTATCAAATTATGTTTTACAATGATAAATAAGCAAGTGCATAGATCAATGTGGATTGGGGCTTTAAAAAATGAAGTTCTTCAGGACTGGATCTTACTAGGGGTGGGTTTTTATAATCGATTCATCGATTAAAATCGATTCCGGCTTGGATAACGTAAAATCGATTCATTAAAATCCTGAATCGATTCATTAAAATCCTGAATCGATTTTTTTAATATAAATTTATTTTGCCCGAAATGCCAGAATCTCTGGTGACATCTCACAAAATTTCAAGAACCACCAAACAGTTAAGACAGTAAATGAGAGCAGGAACACGGATTCTGCACATAGACTTAAACACACAGCGCGACCCGCGGATCAGAATCAGTGAGATGTCGCCTTTCTCACCCGACGGCAAGGACACGGTCGGGGCTGAAAGCCGACAGCTTGCTGATTCTGATGTGTCGGCGGGTCCAAGCTTTGTGTTCACGCCCTTTATGCGCCGATTCTAAAGCTGTTAGTTTGATCTCTCTCCAAACAATATTGACCGAACCAGCAGCAAAAGAAGATTCACATAAACATCGTCATGTATTCACTCTGACTTTTACTGTTTTGCTTCCACCGCGATGCACAGCTCTCTCTCTCTCTCTCTCTCCCTCTCTCTCTCTCTCTCACTCTATCTCTGTACTTCAAGAACAGTTTCCCTTTCTTCATTATTCGCTTGCTTGTTACGCACAAGTCTACTGTTGTTTACAGCGCTGTCAGCCGCTGTTTTTTTCCCTTTTACATTCTTCCGAAAAGAAAACCTCATTTCTGCTGTTCAATACTGAACAAATTTAAACTTTTTAAAATTATTCAAAATGCAAAACGCTTAACCATGTCTCTAATAAAACCGCTGTAACTTCAGAGGTAATGTTCATATGTTGATTAATGGTTTTCTTTCGTTTTTGATGTACTGCAGAATATTTTTATAAAATCCCAGGCCAGGAAAATCACCTTCATGTTTTTCTGTGTTTTATCTTCAGCTACTTTGACACAAAGGTATCTGCTGTGACGCTCACACCTTTGATAAAGTCTTGCGTGTGTCAGCTTCCTTTTTATTGATACAAAAATATGTAAATGTACTGATCTGAATTATAATATTTCTGACTGTCAAAATATCCCAGATTTCGAATCGTGGATCGAATCGATTCGGGACCTTGTGAATCGGAATTGAATCGATTCTAGAAATCAGTGACGATACCCAGCCCTAGATCTTACCCATCAACTCTCTCTCTCTCTCTCTCTCTCTCTCTCTCTCTCTCTCTCTCTCTCTCTCTCTCTCTCTCTCTCTCTCTCTCTCTCTGTACACACATATTTATTTATTTATTCTGCATCCTGCATACTTTGGCATCCAGAAAATACAAACAATGATTTCATATACAAAGAAAAGATGGCATATCAGAAACTCAAGGAAGAAAGAAATTCCTCCTGTTTGAACTGCTTCATGTCAGGCAACACATAAGTCAAGATGTAGTGATTTGTCTTTGTGACATGCTGCCTTTCTACATATTTTGGAATTGGTTTATTGAATTTCAGGCCAACAATAAATGTTTTTTGTTACTGAAACAGATTCCCCCCCCCCTTTTTTTTCTCTTCTGAGAGTAATAATTTGCTGTTATTTTACTCAAATGAACACCTCACTGCAGCATTTTAGGAAGCAAACACTAGGAAGTGTTTTTTTGTTTTTTTTTTTGTTTTTTTGTAATATCTTTTGACTTCAGTCTGCCTCGTTGCATGTTGTGCATGTTGATTTCCATGAATAAACTCTATTTTATTCTATTGTGGTTTAGGTGGGGTCGAGGATTCGGACTCCTGGGCTCAATTTTTGGAAATGACAGTGCACTGAACCAACCCAACAGTGTCTATGGGATTGTCTTTTATGCCTTTCAGCTGCTTCTAGGTAAGCCTATACTCTGTTCCCAGTTGTGGGTTACTTTGTCATTACGTTTTGGATTATATATGACAAATCTCTCTTTGCCTTTGCTCTAGAGGCAAGTGCTGACTCAACTTGTTGCTTTCCTGTAACACAGCTATTTTTGCCTCAACCTGACTCACATGACACTGACATCACACGGAGTTTATAAATGATAATAATGCAGTTAAATGCGAAGTTTGTGTTGTAGGAAGCATTTCCTGCTGACCTGTATTGAAATGTTTTTGGACCTCCCATAGGACTGCAGAGATGAGTTTTTAGAAAACTTCTTATCCTTCTTCTGTTTGGTTTGATGCCTGATATCGTTTTGTTTGCCACACTCTAATCTTGACACCGACAGATAACTGTGATTGTGAATATTTCTCTCTCTGTGTGTGACTTGTTTTAACTTGAACATTGTTTTTCCTCCCTCTGGCGTATGTGACTCAGTCATGCTGGTTCGACATGTTAGCCTGCCGGAGGCCTGTAGGCTTGCCCGGCCACCTGGCCCTAGCACTGAACAAGAGGTCCTTTTAGCTGCTGCATTTAACACTCATTTGACTAGGACAATAGTATCCCAGTTTATCCAAACTGCTGCAGTGGGTAAAGATTTCCATATTAAAGACTGGTTGCATGGCCTTGGATTGGAAAATATTTGCACGTAAGCATTGCTCCAAAATCAGCATAACCAGGGCCATAATCTCTGGTCAATGCCAGTGAGCAGGTTAGAACAGCCGTTGCAAAACACTGAATTATTGCTATAGTTGTGACATTTGGCGATGTCCCTGCAGAGGATCTTTAGCTTCTTTATTCCTTAACTGTAATGAAGAAATTAGAGATTAGTTACGTGTTGCGAGGACGAAGTAAATATACAGTAATATTTGTGTCGAGGTAATCAAGCAAAGTTTGAGATTCTGATGAACTTTTATCCATTTCAGCTCTATAAGTGAACACTTACTAAATCAAGCACATCTGTTAACACCCATCTGAGATTCTTACTGCGTGCTGATCATCACAGTCCTCAGATGCAGGCTATTCACACATGGAGGCACCTATATGTGTGCAGATGTATCACAGTTAACTTTCACTGGTTCATCTGTTTTCACTCAGTCAGTGAGGGTTTAGTGTCTTTGAAGCATGAAGTTCACATTAGAGCAGGGCGATATGACCAAAAATATTTATCACGATATACATTTGAAAATTTGCGATAACAATAAAACTGATGATATAATTGACACTAGACAAAATACTTTACAACTCCACAACTTTATTAGTGCAAAAAAACCCCCATCAATGTATTTTCACTTAAACACTTAATCATTAAAGTTATATAAAACTTTTACAGTGCAAATGCAAATTCCTTGCTGACAGTTTAACCAAAAGGCATTTCCAGTGGAAATTGGCCGACATATCCTGAGCATAACCATGTATAATATCCACAAAACCTAATAGGTTATACACACAATACGGTAATATTATGTTGAACCACAGTACGTATCACTCCGCGAGGCTCCTGTCTACGATAGGCGTAATGCTCCGACAATCCATCAAGCGGTGCAAAGTCGTACTGAAAAATTTGACAGATTTCCGAGCGCCGTGTACCACATAAAATCGTTTCAAGGTCAGTAAACACAACCAGAATTCATACATAAGGGGAATAGCTAGGTTTCATTTGACGTAGACGTGACGTCGACGTAAAGCGCGAAATTTGACTGGCGGTCGGAAGTGAAAAAGATAAGCGCAAAATCACAGACAGACAGTACGCAAAATGCCTATGTCCTGTTGTGTTTACGGATGCTCCAGTAGGTCGACCAGAGAAACTGATAAACGGTATTTTAGGGTACCAAAAATAGCCCAACGAAGAGGAGAAAAATGGAAAATTCTAACCGAAAAACGTAGGAAAAAATGGATTTTAAATTTACATTTACAGTCGGGAGGTAATGTTATGTTTGCAAACGAACTTATTAGCATTAGGTTGTCGTTAAATTCTCGTTTACTTAGTGCTTTTAAGTTAGTAGTCTAATATTGACTTAATTGGGACTATAGGCTGCCCAAGTGCTTTGGATGACGAAGAGTCGGAGGACTGGGCTCCGACGGTCAATCTCGGCTACGAACGAAAACCCAGATCGGAATCAGTTCTCAAACGAGAGAAAAGAATGAAGCTTAAGGCAGAACAGCATCGATGTGCAGAGGCGATTTTGGATATGCAACAGACGGCTGAGAGCCCGGATTTGAGCCTAGTGACAGTGGAGAACAGGCTACTAACCCTGCCATACAATTGCAATGAGCTGCAATCACTTCTCCATCCTCCTTTGCAATTACCCAAGTCTTCAGAGGTGTCTCGTTAGACCGCTGAGAATGGTTTACCTTGAAACAAACAACTGTCACTCTAACGAAGTCCTAAGGATGTGGCATGTTTGTTGACGTTAAAGCCGCTACCGCTAACTGTTAGCGTGTTTAAGATAAAGCAATATAAGAACAAACACTCACCCTTGCAAACACCAAACTGTATCCATCACGGAGACGTTTTGTTCCAAGGTTGTGGACCCACCCGCTGACAAAAAAATTGTACGCCTCCAGACTCTTGAAAGCTTTCATTTGCTGCCTAGTGTAGTAAGAAGTCTGGAGGACCAAGTAGTTGGTGATATCCACAGCCTCGATAGTAGGCAAATCCTTTACTTCTGTGGCGTATTCGGACATTTTCAAAGAATACAGATCACGTCCGATATATTTTTTAACTATCTGTTTATATCTCTCCCGAGAAACGGGGTCTAAAGTTGCACAATAGCTGCTCTCCTGACTCTCCACAGTGTCCTCCATGTTTACTTCCGCCCTCCACTCAAAAATCGCGCTGCCTCCGCACGTCATCAGAACCACGTGACCGCAACCCAACTATTGTCGATTTTCAGAAAAATGTGCCGTATTTTCCAAAAAACACGGTAATAACGACAGCCCGCTAGCATGCGCTACCAAAAATGGTGCTTTGTTGTGCATCTGTCAGATGAAAGCCAAACCAGTTACACACCACTGAAGTTGCAGGATTTTTACAAACCAATTCTGGTTCATCCGTTTCATTTAACAATCCCCTTTCGCTCTTCTTATTCTGCATCGCCGCCTTGTGCTTATGTAAACAAAGGCTCTGCGCATCTGCGTTTTACCCATATTCTATCGCGATATTTCATTTTCCTATCGTTGCCCAACATTACACCGGTATTACCGTGAACGGTATGATATAGCCCAGCCCTAGTTCACATCCATAGTCAGTGTTGTAGTTACAATAGATGGCAATGGGGACACCCAAAAGTACACACAATCTACTTCTGTGTGTGTCTGTGGATACAGCAAGGAGCAACACATATTATAGCTGCTTGAAAGAGCGTGCTTAGAAAATCTTTGCTGCCTTTCCTCCCATCATTCAGTCCTTACACTCTTTTGACAAACGCAGTAACTTTACCAGTACATCTGTAAAAATCCTTGTTTTTATCACCGCAGGCTGGTGGAATCGAATACAGCTTTTTTTAACATGTTGTTCCCAGTTGTTAGTGATTGTTGAACCAAAGCTGCATCCCATCGTTTGATCTAAATCATGATGATAAATGTCTAAAACAATAACGGTAGCAAAAGAGAATACCTGTGTGTTTAGTAGTGACTCCTATGAGTACAAACCTGGTGTAAAAGAAGTGCAGACACTGACAAAATAAGGACGTGTCATCATGTGACAGCACGATGACATAAGCAGCCGGCTGGCTCAGTGTGCGGGCTGAATGTCGTCACGAGGACTCACAATATAAATGCAGAAGTGCCTGAGGCTGAAAGCTCTGTGACAAGAGCTCTCTCAGGAGATTGTGTGAAGGTGTATTTTTTTATTAATTTTTTTAATGGTTACCTGTTTAAGCCTCAATTTGTGTTTCTTGCCTTAGGAATGACTGTCAGTGCAATGGCCGCCCTCATTCTCATGACGACATCCATCTTGTCGGTGGTTGGGTCCCTCTACCTGGGTTACATCCTCTACTTTGTCCTAAAGGACTTCTGCATCATCTGCATCACCACATACGCGCTGAACTTCATTCTCTTTATTCTCAACTACAAGCGATTGGTTTACTTGAATGAGGCCTGGAAGCAGCAGCTACAGGCCAAGCAGGACTGAGCTGCCAAGAACGGCAAGAAAAACCCGAGAAACAAACAAACAGAGAAAAAAAAGAAATGTGACCTCTGAACATTTGACTTGCCACCAGGAGACCTTGCTTCCAAACAATGTTTATTCTGCTGTGTGTTCAAAAAAAGAAAAAAAAAATGAAGAAATTTAACTTAAATGTTGGGCCTGACAACTCATTGTTGATTGCAAACACGGAAGGATTTGTAAGTGAAAGATGATTTTTCTTTTCTTTTTTCTCCTTTAATTTCTTTTTCCTTGTTTTAACATTTTAAACTCGCTTAAGGAAGGGTGTGTGTGTGTGTGTGTGTGTGTGTGTGTGTGTGTGTGTGTGTGTGTGTGTGTGTGTGTGTGTGTGTGTGTGTGTGTGTGTGTGTGTGTGTGTGAGTGAGTGAAAGTGCGCGTACATGTGTATGCGTGCATGCTCGGATTTGGGGGAGGTGAGAACACAACAACAACAACGCAAACAACCAGAGGCAGAGGACAGCTCTCATTTGAACAACAATTGGAAAGTGGAAGAAAAACACAGGACCTTTTTTAGGGTGCTTGATTTGAAATGGTTGGAAAGCTCCTATTGCTGCACAGCTCATCTGCACTAAAACTCGGAGCCGAATATTGGGTTCCAAAATTAGAAGAAACACTCACTAGGTTATCGTTTAGTTGCAAATCAGGTTCTATGAGAAGGGGGCAACAGTTTGTGTTATTATTTTTTTATGTTTACACTTTTTAGTATATTTCTTTTTGAAGAGGACCACTAAAATAAAACACGGCACAGTGTGAGATGTATTGTGTGTGTGTGTGTAGATCAGTCAGAACGTTTGTTTTGCAATTCTGTACATAGCTGCTGAGCAATATTCCAGACTAGATTGTGATTTAGTGTCGACACAAACCTTTAAGGAAAAAGGAAAAAACTACCAACAAAGCAACAGAAAATCTGGATTTTAAAAAATTACAAATAAGTGATCAGGGTCTTAGTTTGGTGGGTCAGACTTCAGATGTGTTCGGGATGTCTTCTGTCCTGTCGTCCTGGTCGGGTGTGCAGTTCAGCCGTGTGTGAATTTCTTTGTTGTACGTGGTTGTTTCATCTGAAGCCACAGAAACAAGTCTTTCAAAATGGAACTGTGGGTTCTTTTTGCCAGGTTTGAGTAAAGGCACCCTCACTTTTTTTTGTGTTGTTGTTGTTCTTGTGGATAAAGCATTCCTGACCACCACACGAGTGGAAACCCATAAAGAATTATGTGCCTAAAGGAGTGTTACGGTAAATTACCTTTCCTTTTTTTGGGGGGGGGATGTCATATTATTGCATCAGATGTTTTTTTTCCTCATTGTTTTATTGTCACAGGTCCAAGGCTTTATTTTTATGATCACAATTTTGTAAATTAAGATACCAGTAAAGTGTTTCTCTCTCCCTAATAGGCTCATAAAGGTAGCAAAGCCTGCTACACTGTGATTGTTCAAGGGCAGGAGCGGCCTAGTGGCAGAAGCAACTCTTTATTTTTCTGTTCCCACTTCATTAATGTTCATTGGGCTTTTGTATACATGTGATATCACTTGAACAGTAACAGTGATCTTGCCAAGCTGAGTTACAGTTCATTTGCAGGATGTGAACAAAACTTGGAAAATGCACTACTTTGTGATTGGTGGGAGATCTGTAAGAAAACCAAGCAGCGTGTTAACCACACGGGTGGTTACTTGGGTTTTGTTCCAGTAGAAAAAGATAACCTGATCACTGTTGTTTGTTCTAATCCACCATTGGAAGGTCTAAGCAGACATGGAGAAGGCGAGCGCAGCATGTAGTGAAACGAGGGAGTAGAACCATCATCTCCCTTCCATCCAGACTGCTGTCCACTGTTAAGTATCCTGTTTGTCACGTGCACGGTACACCATCTCCTGGCTTTTAGCATATGTTGGCCATCGGACAATCTTGCACCCACTGTCAAAGATCAGTAAGAGTCATAAAAAGTGTAATAATGTGATTCATCTGTGGTCTTAAAGCAGCCTGTTGATAGTTTCATCCCTGATCCTCTCCATTCCTCTGTAGTATAATTCAGGGTCTCGTACAAAGCTGTTCCATCGTTCTGAGGGTTTTCAAGTGTTGATAGCAACTGTCATAGTCACAAGTCATTTTAGTGATTTACTACTGGTGATGTGATAAATCACAAAGTCATTGGTTGTGTATGAAAATGGAAATTCAGGTGATCCCTTTTTCTTTTTTTTGGTGAAATAATTTCTGTTCTTGTATGTTGGGACTCATTTACTACGCCTCTGTTTTCCAAGGTACACTTTATAATAATTTCTTATAGTTTTTCCTGCATTCCAGGCAGACATTTGTTTCTTTGTGAAATGATGATTATTTAATCCTTTACAGTCATGTTGAGATTTGTTTTTTGGGCATGTCCAGTGTGGGCCTACTAGCTTAAAATGGACCTGTGATGCTAACACTGTTACAGTGGTGGATGCTTGTATTAAACGTGGCCAAAGTTTTAAATAATGAGGTCAATGTACAAATAATCTCTCTGAGACAAAAGCTCAGGTTTCAAACTGCTCTAAAGAGCCGGTGTCGGGTCATTTTCCCACTCTTGACTCTTTATGGTATGAATGAGAGTGGCATTCTCTAATGTGGCCGTCTCAGTCTGATGGTCCGGACGATGAGCGCAGAAGATCCACACACTTGGTTCAACCCTTCTGTTCATGAGGGCAGAGGGATCCTGAACATATGGATGAACTAAGGGGCTAAGATAAATGAGGATCATTTTGAACTATAAGTCACACAAAGCTACTCTAATGGAGTCCAAGAGAAGAGCATATGGGGCCACTTTAATATAGACTTCACTTTGATTTTGATGGTATCTGATGATGCTCTTAAAGTTTTTAAAGCAAGATTCAAAATGGATCAATTACCCAGAACCCAATCACCTCTAGCCACTTGGGTCATGCTAATAATGGAATTTTAGGTTTCCCTTATGCCAGTATGAAAACTGGTGAAAATTGAATTTCCATGCTGCATAAAACAGAATGGAGATGAGTGGCTGCCTGGAATAGGAGACCTCATTCAAATATTGGTTTGCTTTGAAAAATGGTTGCCAGTTCTGTAAATGTGATTGGTGGTAAAGTAGCAAAAAAAAGAAGCGAATACCATTCAAGTCCTTTAAATGTTAGTGTCTCATAGTACATCTTCGGTAAGAACTTCCCTATCTACAGTATTTCCTGGCTTATGCCAGGTTGTTTTTCATCTCAGCACTGGACGAGGTTACCAACCACACTCTTTTATCCTTTTTCTGCACGCTCACAAGTTTTGTGCAAGTGAATCCATAGAAGTCTTTTTTTTTTTTTTTTTTTTTTAAATTTAAATAACTGACAGATTGCTAGTTAAAAAGTATGGTTCCTGTGAATACTGATATAGAACTGAGAAGCGTACAATATCTAAGATTCCAGTCATGAAAGCCCATTACACCATTTGTGTAAAGTTACTTTAAAACTACAAGAAAGAAATTTGATGGATGTTTATTCAAAAGTTTGGGAAATCTTTGCCAGGTAAAAGGATCACCATTTCCTTGATGATGTAACTCTAAAATCAAGGTCAAGGCATAATCTTTGCTACATTCTCACAAATCTTCATTTAGGCCCTGAGGTAAAACTGCCATGTTAGTTGCATCACCAATGCCAACGAAAGTGCCTTCTGTTTGATCACTAGGCCTTGAGCCAAAGACAAGCAACAGTAAATAGCCTTGTAAAACGAAGAACTGCAACAGGCACTTGTGCTTGCCTTCCTTAGGATGAAATTTGCTTAATTGGTAATTCCTAAAGATTTGATACCTGGTATCAGTACGAAACTCTATTCAGAAATGGCCGTTCCTTTTTTCCTTACTCCACTATGTAATTATCTTTATCTTGCTTAGTTAGGAGATGTTTGTTAGCAGAAAACACACTGTTCCAATGATAAGATTGTAATGTTTTTTCAGAATTAATTATGCCCTTTAGCTGTATAGACTGTTAACATTCTGGGTTGTTTTAGTAAAAAAAAAATGTTGGGGGGTTGGAGGGCTAGGATATCCACGTGTCAGCATAAAAGGTTTATTAAATTTCTTTGTGGAGGAAATCTTACTGGGTTTGCTTCTGTATTGCCAAATATGTTTTAAAATGCTGTATTTTCTTACATGGAAAAGTGTTACATGAATGGTAGGAAGGTGCAAAAAATAACCTGTTTAAATCCAGCTTACCTTAAGGGAAAACTGTGGAAAAAGGTTGACGTGAGAACATTTTTAATTGTGTCATTGTCATGTGGAAATGATCTACCATTAAAACATTCCCTCTGAAGCTGTTAGTTTAAGTTATTTGAATGAAATAATGTGTTTAATACACAAAAAGACTTGCTTTTAAGTCTTTTAGGTTTTATTAGCTTAAATCTTTAGAATATTTGGACTAATAAAACCTAAAACGCAATCTTGTTACTTTGACAACCTTTTTGAGTCTTTCAACAATATTCAGGGGATTTTATCTGAAAGATAAATGAGAGCGTATGAAGTTGTATCACAGCTCAGCAGATGGTGGTAAGTTACCAAAAGCATCATTGTGTTCCCTTTTAAAGATAACTGACGTACTTTATAAAATATTATCCGTTCTGTATCTTCCTGGATCTAAAAAAAAAAAAAAAAGATTTTTGTCACCCATCATTTCTTTCTTCCACTCATCCATCCATTCTCTCCTTGTCAGGGTCGCAGGGGGGCTGGAGCCTATCCCAGCTACCAGGGTAGAGGCAGGGTACACCCTGGACAGGTTGCCAGTCTATTGCAGAGCTAACACATAGAGACAGACAACTATTCGCACTCACATTCACACCTATGGGCAATTTGGAGTCACCAATTAACCCAACCCCACTTACTGCATGTCTTTGGACTGTGGGAGGAAGCCGGAGTACCAGAGTTCTTTAATGTAGGATCCAGTGTGAATGTTTGCAGCAAGCAAACCTGTTTCAGTGTTTACATAAACACCTCAAGCTGGATTTATAGTTCAATTCAATTTTATTTATATAGCGCCAAATCACAACAAAAGTCGCCTCAAGGCGCTTCATAGATACAGAGAAAAACCCAACAATCATATGACCCCCTATGAGCAAGCACTTTGACGACAGTGGGAAGGAAAAACTCCCTTTTAACAGGA